GTGTCATTCGGCAATTGGTGTAACCAGTACTACTAAAATAGGACTGCGAAACCACAGATTAGATAAAAACAAGCAACATTACCAGTAGATTAGGAATACTACCAGTTAGATCTCTTTACCAGTTTAAACCTTTACTATCACCGTACGAGCCATTCTTGCGTGCTGTGCCATACATATTTAAAGCCCTATGATGGCGAGCGCACATCCCTATCAGAATGAACCAAACTTGTACCTCTAGTTCCATTTTCTCACCTTTTCTTTTTCTTTTGGTGATTGACTGGATCATGAAAACATTAATATCTGGGGGGGGAAGCACGACACACATTGGGCAGCTGTACGATCTAAACTTCGCAGATGATCTGGCTCTTCTATCCCAAACGCAACAACAAATGCAGGAGAAGACGAACAGTGTAACAGCAGCCTCGGCAGCAGTAGGTTTCAACATACACAAAGGGAAAAGCAAGATTCTCCGATACAACACAGAAGGCACCAATCGAATCACACTTGACGGAGACGATTTGGAAGATGTAAAAACTTTTACATATTTGGGCAGCATCATTGACGAAAACAGTCAATCTGATGCTGATGTGAAGGTGCGGATCGGAAGAGCAAGAGCAGCATATTTACAAAAGGAGAACATCTAAAACTCAAAACAACTGTCTGTTAACCAACATTAAAGTCAGGATTTTCAATACAAATGTCAAGACAGTTCTACTGTAAGGGATGGAAACATGGAGAACTGTGAAAGTCATCATCCAGAAGGTAAAAGTGTTTATTGACAGTTGTCTATGCAAAATACTTCGGATCCGTTGGCAAGACACTGTCAATAACAACCTACTGTGTAAGAGAGAACAAACCAGATTGCAGTAGAGGAAGAGATCAGGTAGAAGCGCTGGAAGTGGGTAGGACGCACACTGAAGAAAGCACCCAACTGCATCACAAGGAAAGCCCTCACATAGAATCTTCAAGGTCAAATAAGAAGATTAAGACTAAAGCACACATCACGCCGAGTAATGGAGAGAATGGTTGCATTGAACTAGAAAGGAAGACACAGAGAAGTGGGTTGGACAGTGTTGTTCAACATCCTATGCTCCGTTAGGGGTAACAGGCTTGAATAATTTTTATTTTCAAAAAGTTGATCTACTTTCGAAAGTTCAGCATTGATGGTACAATCAAAGTACAGACACCTCGAACCTCGATGTTTGTAAATCATTGTTCATGTAGGTCTTTAATACATCCAAATCAATCTTGTCGTTCAGTTCTATGATATTACATTACTGAATTGTTGAATTATAAATTGTTGTACGGATTCCATACTAATTAATTACCAATAAATATGCAGTGTAATTATCAATCTTGTAATGTCAGTCAGTCAGTAACAACGTAGAACTTCATACGTACGTGTATCAGTTCGAGTTGCCACACCACCTTAACACAGAGATGCAAATCCCGTAGTGGTAGAGGTAATAAGAGTATAAGCAGTAATCGGAAAGATTAGTGTTCGGAGATGTTACTTAAAGAGTATAATACAGTGAAATAAACTTGGGAAGAGAAAAAAGAGACAAGGAGGAATAAGAAGATCAAAATTTGGGAGAACACAAAGAGTGGATGCACCTGCGCCATTGCAAACGATTTTGAGCCATGTCATTCAGGGTCTCTAACCATCGGTTGCTATCATCTCGCGGTCCCCAACCAGGTAGTCTACACCTACCAACATGAATCAGACCACTTGTCAGTGACTTCATTGACTTGTGCTATGTTTTGGTCTGGCCGCCCCTACCTTTCTTCTAACCTACTCCTATACCACTGAACATCGCACGTCGAAGCAGTCGGTCGTTGGGCATAAGTAACACGTGTCCCAGACAACTCAACTGATGAAGTTTCACTACTTCATCAACTGATTTCCCGTCCTTACCTAGTACCCGTTTCCTAACAATTGCGTTACTTACTCGATGGTCACAGGATATATGAGAAATGTTTCGAAGACACCTATGATCGAATACTAGTAACCTACGAATATCCTCTACTCTTACCGGCCATGTTTCATTGCCATAAAGTAGGACGGAACGAACTGCTGCTAAGAAAACACGTTCTTTGGTTGATAGGCGAATATCTCGCCTACGCCATAAATGACGCAAGTTGGCAAAAGCTAGTCGAGCCTTCTGTATCCGTGCTGAGATTTCGTCACATACCAGACCACAAGGGCTGATGAGACTTCCAAGATAAGTGAAGCGGTCGACACACTCAACTACTTCACTCCCTATCACTGGTTCGGGTGTCAATGTAACCCAATCCTGAAGCAACATTTTGCATTTCGAGGGAGAGAATCGCATCCCGAACATGCTTGCATTGTTGCTTAGAGTGGTCAGAAGACTCTGCATTTTGTCAGTGTCTTCACCAAATAGAACTGTGTCATCAGTATATTCTAAATCAATAAGTGAATCTCCTGGCAGAAGTTCAACCCTTGGGAATTTAGATGAGTAAAGTGTTAAACAAGAATGTAGAGAGTGCACAGCCCTGACGAACACCACTTGAGGTAATCAATTCTGATGACAGTTCGCCATAAGCTCTCACTCTACCAGTTGTGTTCGAGTAGAGAGCCTGAATAAGGTTAATGTACTTCTTTGGTACTCCTTTCAGTGACAAACACTGCCATAGAACCTCACGATCAATAGAGTCGAATGCCACCATAAGGTCGAGAAATACTACCATTGTGGGGCGTCTGAATGTGTGTCTGTGTTCTAGAACCTGACGTAGTGTGAATATCTGATCTATACAACCACGTCCAGGTCGAAAACCGGCCTGGTTTTTTCTAATCTGCTCTTCACGAGCTTTGATTAGGCGTCGAAGTATTATTGAAGCTAATATTTTAGACACTATATTAGTCAAACTGATTCCTCTGTGATTGTCACAAGAGGACTTTTGTCCTTTCTTATAGACTGGCACAATCAGTGATTGAGACCAGTCAGATGGGATTACGTGTAGTTCCCAAATCCTACCTAAGACCTCGGTTAATCTCATTGCTAATACTGGACCACCATCCTTAAAAATCTCAGGAGTAAACCTGTCCGGGTCTGCTGCTCTCCCTCGTTTTAGATTTCCTATGGCTTTTTCAACTTCGTTAAGAGACGGAGGACCTACATTAACTTGCCATTCAGGTTGACTGGGGATCGTGGGAAACCGAAGTCTGGCTGAAGGCCAGTTGAACTGATCCCTGAAGTGTTCTGCCCATCGATCCAATCTCCTGGATTGAGAATGAATAATATGTCCATCTTTCTCTGAGAGTGTTTTCGGATGTCATTCCATGCTGCCTCGGGGTGGGCATCACATACATGGCTGCCTAACTGTTTTCCTAGTTGTTCCTGAAATATACTCTTAGCTTGACTATCATTAAGTAGGCCCCTAGGAGGTTTACTTGCAGCGTCTTTCCTACGTCCGGTAAGACGCAAGCAAATACGCGCTCGCACTAGAGCATGATCTGAATCTAAGCATGTGCTCCAGAATGAGCGACAGTCTTCTATCGAGCCCCTCCATCGGTGGCTGATAGCGATGTGATCTAGTTGGGTCCAACGTTCGGACGAATTAGGGGGTAGCCATGTTAAAAGATGTTTTTCCTTATGCTTAAAGTTAGTATTTGCAAGGAACAGGCGATTATCTGAGCATAGCTGCAACAGACGGTCGCCATTATCTGTTCTTTGAGCCACTACACTATAAGATCCACCCAGGTGTCTTTCCCTTTCGCTTAGTTTACCTACTTGAGCATTAAATTCACCAGCCACTATTACATCAGAGCGCCTAGCTTTTCGGAGAAGGTCGGAAAGCTTTCTGTAAAACTCATCTTTTACATCATCTGAGCTGCAGTCAGTGGGAGAATAGGCAGAAACGACGAAGAGGCAACGACGGATGTCCCTATCTTTCCGGATTCTTACTGTTCCGTTCAGTCGGACAGCGCACAAACGGCTGTCTACTGGGATCCACTCTAAGAGAGCTAGTTGTGCTCTGGGACTCAATGCTATTCCTACGCCGGCGAGGCCACGGGAAGCAGAATCAGGGCTTCCAGATACACGAAGTGCGAATCGAGTCGGTTCTGTATTTTGACATGGTGAGGTCAGCTGAATGACGCTACTCGGATCCTGTATGCGCGTTTCGGAGACGCAGCACACATTGATGGCGCGGGATTCTAAAGTCCTAGCTAAGGGAGCCTGCTGTCCTATTTGGCACAGTGTTCGGACGTTAAAAGCTCCTACGTGTAGTTTAGAGCGTGGTTTCAGGAGACCAGGAATAGCGTTCCACGTACTCGAATCGTTTGCCCTAGCGGTGCGAGGTGATAAAGAGACGTGAGGAGGGGTGGTCATGGAGATAAGAGAGGTATTAGGAGGTGTAGGAAGGATTTGAATGTGACCAACTTGGTCTCGCGTGCTGTTACGGGTATGAGGGCTGATGTCACTTCCCGGCTGCCCACACCGTGGAAGGGTATTTCTTGAGGAACCTGAAAAGGAAATTGAATTAGTGTTGGTCTTGACGACCTGGGAGCGTGACCGCAGAGCCCAAGGGACAACTGCTTGAGGCCGGTCGCGCACGGCCTTTTTGTAGAAGGTTTTTGACGTGTTAGCTCCGTTCTTCAGATGGCCTTACCGCCGGAGACAGAAATCCGTGAGGTAAGGTGAGGTGTGACATTTTTAGGGTCGACCTTTTCTAACCACACCCCTCCTTGTGGGAAGGCAGCATCGCTGTCATGCTGATTGTCCGAAGGAAACACCTTACTGCTGTCACACCCCTCTACAGTCAGCAGTACGACTTCGTCCTCAGACCTTGAGTTGCTGCTTTTAGTCTTACCGTTCACCAATCGACCTGCCTGGCATGGTAGAACCTACAAGAACATATGTTCCAGCCAATATAGCTCGGTTGGGTCATCACGATAGGCAAGCCCGACCACCGCGTCAAGGTAGCAGCTTCGGTCGGGAATCTTATAATGAATAAAGAATAACTATACAAAAATATATGTATAATGATAAATCATATTTGGAAAAAAAATATAAAAACTTTACAAACTGATTCATGTAGTTTTACATTTTATTATCAACTAAACCAAATCGTGCTTGACGTTTAGATAATTTTTCAGTATCCGACATACTATTGTTATTGGATAAAACTAGACCAAATTTTTGTGCACGAATAGACTTTGCTAATTCATCATTAATCTGTGTATTCACTGATGATAAAGGTTTGCCAAATTTCTCCAAACGTTTAGCTTTACGCTCCAAATCGGTTAACTACAAAGTTTTACAAAAACAAAAAAAACTTCAAATTTCTGTGTTGTTAATATTATAACAGTCGGGTGGTTCATCAAATTAAATTACATCAGACTTTTCCAATCACTACAAACCTACACAATCCAAATTAACAGTCACTACTTTATATGTGTATATGTGTGACTAACTTCTTTTTAGTCTTATTTGGGACTAGCCAGTTAGGTGTGATACATGCAGTTTTGTTAATGTTTACATTGGAACTCGGACCTAGCACTTTTCATTCCAAATGCCAAAGCGATATCCACTGGGCTACTGAGACCATATGGTCACTAACTTGTCCGACAGATATGGTGTTTATATCACTATCAGTAAGGGTTTTATTCATTATGTTGCTAAAATTTAAAGCTGGATTTCTGACTAGTCCCAGCTGGTATAAGTGGATCCTGTACGAACTGCCTGAACTCTATAAAATTTGTATAATCTAGCCGGATTGAAGCATTTTGCACGGGATGCATATATGCAACAAAGACTGGTTAAAAATGCAGTCCTAAATATCAACAACAGGATTATTCAGACCCTTAATAATCATGATGTAAAAATCTCAACTGTTTATGCACTTGTGACCAATATTATGGATTGATATCATTTAGTTTGGAAACAATACTTGATTGCGAGTAATCATTTTTGAAATTTTTGAAACTATACTCGCTGGTTTTCAATTCATCCTTCACTTGATAATAAATGATGAAAATCAACTTGGAATTTCATGATTTCCACGAGAAATTCAACAATCCAAGCAGAAAAAGAAATCGAACAGAGAGAAACGAGTATGTGACTTGAACAGTGCATTCAGTGTTGACTGGTCAATTTATAGGAATCAGTCAGTTAGCCATAAGCGACGTAGAACCTGACACATGAGTGTCTCCGTTTACATTGACATTGAGTCTAATTAATAGGACAAATACCAGAGTATTAGAAGTATTCTAGTAGAAAGCAAAGAGTAAATACATATAACCTTATGAGACCGACTCTGAGCCGTGTCACTCGATGCCTTGATTTAGCTGCTCCTAGTTTCATTCGACGTAGTCCTACATCAGAAAATATTCAGCCTGAAGGTACATAATAGTTGGATATATGTAACATATGACCTGACCAGCTCAAAGGAAGGAAATTCGTAATCTCATCAACCGACTTGTCATTTTTGTCTAGTAACCTGAGCCTAAAATCTTAACACTGATCACTCGATAACCCTAATTCTGGTCCACGATGTGGGCGTGGGTTCGAATCCCACCTCCGACACATACTTTATCCCCCAAATGCCCTGGTACGGCCGAGAGTAGGGAGAGTCCGCTCTCCCTCTCGAAATGCTCTCATATGGCCACGCGTATATAGCCTCTGCCAGGGAAGTCCTACTTACTGCCTTCTCGTGGCAAAGGTGTTGTTTACGAATTTGAGAGGACAAAAAGCGAATGTCCGGCGCTTTAACCGGATTCCAAACCAATGGTGCACATGGGCTCCAGTATCCTGCGGGAACAAATGGCGTATGAACCAACTGTTGGTCACCGGCTTCCATGGGATTGCATCTCCTTATGATGCTCCACTGTCTTGTGGATCAGACCCTCAGGTCGAAGGCTCGGGGTGTGGCTCCCTAAGAAAACCATCTGCTTCGGTCTAGGGACCCGGGCAGTATCACAGCCCTCACACATATCGAATGAGATTTGTGTGGCGCATATGTATTTGGTGCCTCTTTGTACCAATATCTATGTGTTGAAATAAATAAATAAAGAACCCTAATTACGCGTCAGTAATGCCTTCAGCACACTAATCCATCAAACACTAGTAATCTACAAATATCCTCTACCTTTAAACGACATATTTCATACACATAAGGCGGGACAGATAACCATGTATACAACAATAAAGCGATTATTATAATTATTTTTGTCATATCCTTTGTTGCTTATAATCATCTGACTATTGAGGATCATATACACCGTCAAATATTAAATAAATAGAAAATTAACCTTAAAATGTGTAAATCCTTTTAAAGTGATATTGATCTGGTGAAATGTCAACACATTTCCATTGTCTTTATTTATACACAGTAAATTTTATTCAATGATATTCAGTGTACTTTCAATATGCAGTTAGCTACTTAACTTTTAATGCATCTTCCGTTGTATCAATTATTATTTATTTATTTGAACACATATATTGGTACAAAGGAGCACTGAATACATATGCGCCACATAAGTCACTTGATTTGTGTGTGAGCTATGATACTGCCCGGGTGCCCAAACCGAAACAGAGGCTACAGACGGAGCCTTTGACCTAAAGGTCTGATCCATAAGGCAGTGGAGCATCGTAAGGAGATGCAATCCCATGGTAGCCGGTCACCAACAATAGGTTCATACACCATTTGTTCCTTCAGGATCCCTAAGCCCATGTGCGCTATTGGTTTTGAATCAGGGTTTTCCAACTTCACTAGGTAGACTCTTTATGTCCACTAACCCGGTTAAAGCGCCGGACGTTCGCTTTTCGTCCTCCCAAATTCGTAAACAACACCCGTGGAGCGAGAAGTCAGTGAGTAGGACTTCTCTAGCAGAGGCTATATACGCGTGGCCATGTGAGAGCATTTCGAGAGGGAAAGCTGACTCTCCTCACTCTTGGCCGTACAAGGGTATTTATTCATTATGATTTTCTGTTCAGTGACAATTATTCAGTTTGATAAAATTCTTTAGTTAATAATCACCTAATCAACAGATAAATGAATGAATTCTCCTACTACTACTACTATATAAACTTAACTTCTCATTGTAAGTGAATAAGAAGAAAGAGGATATCATTAATCGATATTGAAATTAGAGTTATAAAGTAATCATTCAATAGACGAATCTATCATTGACATAAAATTCCGTATTAATATTATAATACATATATTATAGATGTTGGAGTGATCCAGAAAATTCCTCGCAAAAGACAAACAAGGATCAGGAAGCACTAAGAAGTGTTTCATACAATCAGCGTTTACTTGAAGTTTTAGCCAGAAATATCAAGAAAGTGAAACGTCACTTGTAGAGGTTCTGATTGGATGACTGCTATACTGCTATTATGTTTAGTAGCATTTCAGAATGTTCGAGCAACCCAACCTTGGAGTAAAGTACTTCTCGCATATTTTGCGCCTTCTCTCTCTTTGTTCAGGTCGCTGTATAATTCTAGCTTGGGGGTTACGAGAGTAGCTTAGGAAACGAATATAGCGTTCAATTTGCAAAACTTATCAATAAAATAGATTCATTAATACACTAACCTTTTCTAATGTTTTACTAGTAGTAACACCAAATCGTTCAGCACGTTTTTTTAATTTTTCTAATTCATCCAATTTTGAAGTATCATTTAAACAGACAGTATTGACATTATTACTAATTGGTAAACCAAATCGTTTAGCACGAGCAATTGTTTTTTCATCATCGGACATAAAACGTTTAGTACGACATATTAGACGCTGTAAAAACGTAAAACAATCAATATACAGTAAATAAATGTTCTTAGAGAATAAATAATGATATAAATTTTCATTGGAAATAATCATTATGCACAATATCAAGTCACTCTGTTTAAAAAAATATATCAAGGCAATTCACACAGCAATCAGTCAGTCAAAACGTAGAATTTTGTACGTACGTACATCAGTTCGAGTTGCCATACCACATTAGCACAACGATGAGGTTGTCGATTCAAATCCCGTAGTGGTAGAAGTAATAAGAGTATAAGTAGTAATCGGAAACATTAGGGTTAAGATATGTTACTTAAAGAGTATAATCCAGTGAAATCAATTTGGAAAGAGAAAAAAACGACAAGGAGGAATCAGGAGAATAGAATTTGGAAGAACACAAAGAGTGGATGCACCGGCACCATTGCAAACGATTTTGAGCCATGGCATTCAGGGTCCCTAACCATCGGTTGCTATCATCTCGCGGATCCCTACCTGGTAGTCTACACCTATCAACATGACTCAGTCCACTTGTCAGTGACTTCATGGATTTGTGCCGTGTTTTGGTCTGGTCTGGTCGCCCCTAACATTCTTCCAACCTACTCCTACACCACAAAACATCGCACGTCGAAGCAGTCAATGGTTGGGCATACGTAACACATGTTCCAGCCATCTCAACTGATCAAGTTTCACTACCTCATCAGTTGATTTTCCATCCTTACCTAGTACTCGTTTCCTAACAACTGCGTTACTTACTCGATGGTCATAGGATATACGGGCAATGTTTCGAAGACACCTATGATTGAATACTAGTAACCTAGTAATATTCTCTACTCTTACCGGCCATGTTTCATTTCCATAAAGTAGGACGGAACGAACTGCTGCTCAGTAAACACGTCCTTTGGTTGATAGGCGAATATCTCGCCTACGCCATAAACGATGCAAGTTGGCAAAATCTGGTCGAGCCTTCTGTATCCGTGCTGAGATTTTGCAACACACCAGACCACAAGGGCTCATTAGACTTCCAAAGTAAATGAAGCGGTCGAAATACAACAACTGCTGTATAAACAAACATGAAAATAATTATTATTACTGAAGTGATTAATCAGTGGAAAGTCGCAGTTCTACAGAAGGTCAATCAAGGTTCAAACATAGATCAGTAGTAACTGGCTTCGACTGTAACATTTGGAGGGTTAATTCTTGAAAAATTGAAGATATGCCTTGTTGAATAATGAGTGTTAACACTAACACGAAACTCAGGTCGAATAAGAGTTCCTATCAATTAATCGTAATTTAACTAGTAAATGTCAAAACATTCCCTATCTTTAAGATATCTCCATCTCGGCGTACGTATTGTATATCAGAGTTAGTATTAAAATATGCAGTAATGAAAGTGATTTTGTGTAGAAAGAACAATATCATGCTGATAAAGTTCAATGGAGTGGGATTATGATGGTTGAGTTACTAGACTTCCAAGTAGTAGATCGCTTTATCTACTACGGTTTGGTCAACCCAGTATCCTAGTATTAGTAAAACTAACCCTTAACATATTCAATATAGCTTGAGGTCATGCGCATAAACTTATATACATGGTATATGTGTATCACTAAATTGGTTAAAATTTTACCTCAGAATCCGATAAGGTTTTTATTTCCTCTTTAGCATTATCATGTGAATCATCAGTTGTATGTGCAATTTTCAGAACTTTCTCACCACTAGTCATTGAATCTTTTTCAGGTGTCAGTTCACTGGCTGGACGTTTACGTCCTACAGTTTTATTTACAGTTACAGCTGGGAAATTAAGGTCATTTGGAGATCCATTACTATTGCTACAATCCATTTCTGTTGTCGTAGAATGTGATATATTCACATGGTTAGAATCACCATCCTCATCATCCCCAAGCAGTTCTGCTTCATCGCCAGGTTGTAACAGTACAAATTTATTTCCTGAAAAGAAAAACAGATAGAGTAGTTACAAGTAATACAATAAAGACTTGAGAAGAAACACTAAGGGTTTATGATTTAGTCAGTCGTAAACAATGTAGAGTCTGATACAACAATAAATGTGTACTTATGTTAGTCAAGTAACTTGATTACTGATTATAGTATTAAGGTATTCAACTTCGAGTCATACATTTATGCTATGATGGCTTGTGACGCTACGCAATTAAACTGAAGTAGCGGTAGAATTTCGAATCCGTGACTTAACTGCAGCGTATTTAGGAAAACCTGTTACTTAGAAAATCACAGAAATATATGACTTAATGTAGCTGTGTGTTATGTTAAGTATACTTGAATACGTGTTATATACAATAATCGACAAATTTTCAAGGTAACTTTAATCAGGAAAGCAGAAATAAATAGATTGTATAGTGCTAGTGCGTTAAAATACAGCTTAAGTAGGATAGTATAAAAATATTTAGCTGAATATTTGACAATTAGTGTACATGCCAAGATTAGGCATAGAACATACAGCTAGAAAAAACAGATTAAGAGCGTTGGACAAACAATTATTTTAAATTGCCTTTTTTTTACAGAATCCCTCTTGGGTGAAAATCATTGAATGGAAGATGATAACTGACCTAGGAGTAGGTTGACAGGAAGCTAAGGACGTCCAAATAAATAGCACGTTTATAAAGGCAATGATCAGTGGTCTAAGCGATGAAAAGGCGTGTGTAGACTTAGCGATTAAAATCTGGAGGATTATTCTAACCCCTGACTAGATAAATTTAGTGGTATGATATGAAACTGGTCTCAGTTGTGTAGGTGTAGTCAGCCAGTTGGTCACATGCAATATAAAATCTGGCACATATATGGATGGTTTTAGGTCTCTGCATCACATCGCAGAGAGATGTAAGTAGTAACAAAATCAGAAGTATTAAGAAACATTAGACACAGAAGATATGATTCGACAGTAAAATTATGGATAGGTGAAAAGAAAAGTCATTGGAAATGATGAACAAATTTAGGATCTAAGGAGAGAGTAAGAATGATTGCATTTTTGTTATTGCGAATGCTTTTAAACTACGTCAAACATTTCCAATCATTTGTCACAGCAATCACGTGAACTTTGACTAACGGGTCTGTACCTACCTACACAGTCGAGTTCAACAGTCAATGACCTCATGGACTAATGTTATGCATTGCATTGGTTACCCTTATGTTTCTTCCAAACCTTTCATACATCAAACATCTCTTGTTGAGGTAGAAAGTGGTTGAATATACATAATACATGCCCCATATACCTCCTATGACGAAAATTAATCCACTCTATATCTTATTCTAAATATTGAGCATAGTTTATACTTTTCGTCGTCTGATGTAATTTATTTTTTATAAGTTACATTTTTATTTTTATCGTTAGTTATCCATTTTAGTTAGTAGGAATTTTTATTTTTCGTTTCTCACTTCGTTAAATTCCTTTTCTGTATTTCTGACTGTTATAATTTATCTTATTACGACCCAGCTATTCCTATCGCTGAGTATTCTTGGGCACTAATACACTTGACAAGCCCCCAAACCAGAACATGGTTGAGCAGGAGCGAAATTTATATTCCAAATAACAAGGGTAGATGGGAGTAGGAAGCACAATAAGAAAAACGTTAGTACATTTATAGTTTTTATGTGAGATTCTAGAGTCTATTCCAAGTGTCCACTAGCGCTGGTTAGATAAGAAATAGCCGAACAACGTACACTAACACAATCCTGCATGGAACGCGATTTAATCCAATATATATTCCGCTAACGTTGATCTTAAATTGTAGAAACTTTAACCATTCTAGAGTCAGAAACTGTGAATGTACATTTCCTTATGTGCTATCAATCACCCATTAATCAGAAGAACTAGTATCGAGTGAATTAAATATTTGTAGTCGATCACTAAGTGCCAATATCGAATTCCACTTTACCCACTTCGATTTTAGCAATTATTATTTATTTAACACATAGATATTGGTACAAGGAGGCACCAAATACATATGCGCCACACAGATCTCATTCGATATGTGTGGGGGCTGTGATACTGCCCGGGTGCCCAGACCGAATCAAATGGTTTTCTTAGGGGATCACAACCTGAATGTCTAATCCACAAAGCAGTGGAGCATCGTAAGGGGATGCAGTCCCATGGTAGCCGGTGACTAACGATTGGTTCATATACCATTTGTTACTTCAAAATCCCCGAGCCCATGTGAACCATTAGTTTGGAATGAGGGTTTTCCAACTCCCCTAGATGGACTCAATCTCCACCAACACTGTTAAAGCGCCGGACATTCGCTTTTCATCACAATTGATTGATTACTGGGTGGTGGTCAATGTCATGCGAGTCAAGTCCTTATTTAGTGCAGATAGAATGCTATCGACCATGTTGCAATGTGGCTACTAGTCTAGGTGACTCGACACTGCGTTGGTTGGAGGTAGTCAACAGGAAACCCTGGACCCGGATTTCGTGCTACTTGGCACTCGACAGCAAGGTGTACCTGTAATCTTGAGGGAACTGGTGCTCCCTGGCGGATTTGATCTCGTATCACCCAGCTTCACAGTCAGAGACGTTACCACTGAGCTATCCGAGCCGTGACTAACCTCCTGTAGGACAACAACAGTAATGCCGCGAGAAGGCAGTGAGTAGGACTTCCCTGGCAGAGGCCATATACATGTGGCCATGTGAGAGCATTTTGAGAGGGAGAGTGGACTCTCCAGACTCTCGGCCATACTAGGGCATTTGGGGGCTGAGCAATTAAGTTATATCATTAGCCCGCGCACCTGTACTGTGGCTCGAACCCAGGCACCTAGTGAATGAGTTCGTTCACCTCTTTTTCATACTAACTTATTCCATAGGTTTGTGCTACTACAAATGACACGTCTTGCTAGAACAACTCTCGAATTTCTCTAGACCAATCTACATACGATACAGCATTGCACGCAAAGTGAGATGGAGAAAAAAAAGTCATTTGAGTTTGTCTGCAGATATCCTGCCAGGATATCAAAACTATTATAGATACACGACACCAAGTAAAAAATCTGTGACAACTGAGGTTGTATGAAAACACAGAATATGAACTAAATATACACACATACAAAATGAATATGATCAATTTACCGTGCATTTCCGTAATACGTGAGATGAGTTCGACTTTTGTTCCTGTAGATGGAAGTTTGTTCTCTTTACATATTTTTTTCAGGTCGCTTAACTAAATTATTAATTGAAATAAGTATACACAAACTACATTTATACCTTCAATTTGTGCAAATCTTCAACACTTGGTAAAGGCTCTGACATTGTACAAGAAGAGATAAGGATCTCTCAAACACAACTGATAACCTTTTGAAAGAAGACAAACGTGAATTAAAGCAACATAGTGGAAAAATTCTGTTGAAAACAGGATATAATTTATGGAAGACCTTTGAGAAATGCTTGAGTGGCCCTGAGGATATTCGACTAACTACAGAGGTCAAAAAAGGTACGTATCATTGTAAGGAAACAAAACTAGGACTCAATTAGATCAAATGGGGTCAGTCAGTCAGTAACAACGTAGAACTTCGTACGTACGTACATCAGTTCGAGTTGCCACACCACATTAGCACAGAGATGCCGTGGTCGATTCAAATCCCGTAGTGGTAGAGGTAGTAAGAGTAAAAGCAGTAATCGGAGAGATTAGTGTAATTACAGTTAGGGTTTTCATCACGAACTGATATCGGTTATAATGACAAAATGCTATTTAACAATATAGATTATTGAACCTTGCGCTGAAATCCAAGACGCGACATCTTAAATCACATTGGTTCGTTTATAAATTATAGTATTGAAAAAATGTAGTCCAGAAGAACAACACAGTAGCGACTTTTAGCCTAACATATTATAAGCTTTCGTGCAACAGCTTCTGCTATGCCCACATAATCACTCACCGTTAGACCTCGTACTTACTCACAAGTTAATTAATATTAAACAGGAGACTATTTCACCTTACCATTACGATAAATACATTTAGAACTTCAATATGATAAGATGTTTATTATTTGCACAATTTACTATAATAAATTAATTTGAATAATTATTTTGGTGAGAATATAATTTATGGACGGCTTTTGAGTGGTGCTTAAGTGGCCCTGAAAATGTCCACCTAATTACTAGAGCTAAATGAGTTATAAACCTGCAGTTAGAGTTTACAGTGTGATAAATAAGGACTATGATTTACAATTGATGTTTAGGGTTAGAAATTAGATATAGGGTTTTAATCACGAATCGACACCAGCCAAAATGCCAAAACGCTATTCGGTCATATGGATGATAGAATTATGCACAAAAATCTAAGATTTGTTATCTTAAATCTGATTGGTTCGTCCATAAATTATAGTTTCTCCAACACTTGAAATGTTATCTGGAAAGTGAAACTTAACAAGAGGCAAAGTAGAGACAGAGCACTTAGTTTCATTTTAAGCAACAGTACGCTCTTGTTAGACGAAACTCCACTCAAAGTTCGGACGGGAAAAGTGAGTTCGAAAAGCAATTTTAACCCTAATCAGCAAATATTACCTAAAAACAACCACTTGCACGGATGGCTGAATTCAAAGGTTACTTGATAGATTAAGGCGCGTGAACAGATTGGTTATATCCAAACAATATTTCGTAGATCTCCTAACTAGTGTAAACTTTATATAGTACTAAACACGAGTGCCATTTTACACAACCTTGAAACAGGGTCGGTCAGTCAGTAGACTTGAAAACTACTGGAGTACTTATAAACGTTCGGAATTAAAAATGATAAACGGCAACGTGCATGAACATCTATAAAAAAGGGTTACCATTTACAGGCAATAGGACACACTAAGACGGTTAGTCACACCCACCTTCAATGTAACGTCAACGATATCGAGGCGCTTATGCCTTAAATTTCAATGCCCAATATAAAACAGGGGCTAATATCTTTGTCATGAAGTTGCATATACCGATCGATTTCCTTAAGCTAGTCCCTTGTTATTATGGTGCATTTAAGACGTTTGGTTTGGCTTAACAAGTGGAATCTAGCTACTCGACCGCACTACTTTCAGTCAAATTGTCAGTCATTCATTAAGAATGCTATTCCATATGCCATTATCGGCAGTGTATCCCATGAGAGCAGGACGTATGAATTAGTTATTTGCCGCTTGAAATTCAATGAATAAGAGCTTCTGATTAATTTGGTTGACCGCAGTCCAAGCTGTGAGGTAAATGAAGTCCTGCTAAGCAGTCTCAATATCTGGTCACAAAGTGGTCGATGTCTAATCCTAGGAGACCTTAACGCACCCATTGTAGACTGGAGAAATCTGTGAACTGAGTTCTCAGATAATTCCTTCGAGCAGGAACCATTTGACGCGGTTATCACATGTGCCCTGGTGCAGCATGTAAAAGAAGCGATTAAGTACGACCCGGACTCTGAGTCATCTTCACTAGATATTAAATGACCCATTACGAAGGTGACTTTACGAACCTCGATTACTATGACACTTGCTTAGTTTAGTATTCTTGATTGTCGTACAATTCAGTTTAGTTGAAAGGATTATGGTATACTTAAGTATAGTGCTTTAAGTCTGTAACGAAACAGATCAGTCTAGTAAGTAGAGTTGCCTGTTTCTGATGAGTATACTGATTCAAAACAGTCTGACTAAAAATAGGAAAAAAGTGCTTTTGGTACTGTTGCTATCATACATTATAAGATAGCGATAAGTATGTTCAGTGTTTATTTCTAGATTGTACATCTATCACTGACCATATTTCATGATCACTGTCATTAAACAATTTCCCCAGCAATAACATCGGCAGCAGGATAGCTAAGTGTGTGAGCTTTTATTTGCCCGCAGAAGAGCAGTATACAGTCTTAGAAGATGGCTGTTCTGTATCTCAATTAAATGAAGTTGGCTGTGGACAAATGTTAAGAATCTTTTTGACAATTGGGACTTTTAGTTCATCAAACACTAAATCTGCTTGTATGTCTCCCTGTTAAACTAGATGCAGATACATGGTAATACTTAAATGAGAGCAAAATAATAAAAGCATCGAGATACGGTATTAAGTCTATGTTATACTTTGCACAATAAATAGCTGACCTGACCTAATATTCATGAACTAAAGGTAAATCAAAACTGCATAAATTCTTTGCTAAAAGTCATGTAATTTGGTTATTTATCTATTCCACATTTCTGACTAAATTCATTACTGTTTTCTCATTTAGAATGCATTAGGACTCAGTCTTCACAGATCCTAAGAACTGTTTCGCCCTTAGAACTATGGCCCTATTAATCTGTTTACGGGAGACCCAACTAACAGCAGATTATAAAAGGATTCTGGATGTCCATTTTAATCTCACAACCACTTCCAGTACTTTTTGAGTTACTTCTTTTACCCTTTCGTTTGGAAAAAACAACAAAAACTGCAGCTTAACATTACAAATTCAACTTTTAGACTGGAACTTAGTTTAAACCTTTGTTTCATATTCGATTCTTAATGAAAGTTCTCGAATAAATTTTTGAACCTAATGCTACTTTGTTTTATCTACTTAATCGTTGCAAGAAACTTGTGATAATCGAGCCTCTCATCACCTAATTCATGTGTTCAGGCTTCCGTGTCTAATAGCAGGGGATCACCGAAACCTCCAAGCAGGAACCTAGGTATGTTAACAATAAAAGATCCATTCGTCTCTCAAAGGACTCCTGGGAAGTCGCTTGGACTAGTTCGGCGGGCAGCTAATTCCAGCATTCGACAACTCTTAAGGAGTAGAAGTCGCGTCTACAGTCCATTCTGCTATGTCGTGTCTCTAGTTTCTGGGACTAAGCTCAAATAGGTGTTTAAGAGAATGTCCAGAAGTGTTAAGGATCCTGTAAGTAAATAGGTCACCTCTAAGACGTCTATACTTTAATGAGTAGAGGTTAATTGACTGTAGGCGCTCTTCATAAGGTGATTTGGTGCATATCTCCGTCACTTTCTTGGGAAACCTACAGGCTTGGGTCCTCTCACAACTTATTCTAGCCACCATGAGTTGCCACGAAAACTGATGGATGGACACGCGTTACACATCCTAACCGTCCCTGCGTCTAATCTCATGGCTTCTTATTCAAATGTCGTATGATAAGCAAGTAATGCTTCTACCGACACTAATGGAACACGAGTAATTCAAAGGCACCCTGTATGGTACTTTACATTGGTCTACGCACTCACTTAGCTCTTCAATGGGAATATTACTACAGTCCTGCTAAAAAAACCCATGAACCCCCCACCACCATCAAAACAATAAGTCTGTATTTGCTGCATATAGCAACTTTATTTTTCAGAAGATATAACAGTTAGAATTGGAGTAAAATAACAATATACAACAGATGCACGTGGTACATGTCTTCATCGATCAACTTAAATAGAGAATACGGATATTAGCTTACCATGCTTATTTAGAATGACTAGTGTTTACTTTGAACTTAGTGCGTGAGAAAGTTATACTGGAACTGTGAATAATGTAGGAATCTAGTCTCCCAGGGCGTACGAAGCACTCAAACTGGAAGACAATTGTCCCAAAATAATTCGAATATGAAGGTGAGAATTTGCAGGTACTTTTCATCGTAAAGGTGAACATATTAGATGACGGTTGACATCATACCGTAAAAAAAACACAAATTTGCGAGTGGTGAATTATGGTCTATAAAAAGCTGAGCTTAATAACAGTTACTCCCTGATCATGACCCTTGGGCTTCCTTTTGTGGCCAAAACACCAAACATACACTACATACTAATAGCAGATTTCCGGCTTTTCAATGTTAAGCTTGCTTTAACGCACTACGTAATGCGTACAACCCCTCCATTACTGCTATGTGGCATATTTTTTCATAACAAAACCTCTGTAATAGATTGGTAGCATCTGTGGTTGTCGGAAGCCTGGGTGCTTTCGAAAACAATATTGACATCCCCTACTGCTAGGCACTAAGTATTAGTTTGACTCGTTGGTGGGATATTGTTGTCCGCAATACTGAAGAAAATTAAAAACCGGAAATTGTTTCCTTACATTTTGCCGATAACATCATAAAGGACAGTTAGTCACAGGAGGCAGCAACAGTTATTTCAGCTAAGAAAAAAACGAACTTCGGCTTTGGATATCTAGAAAACAAGTCAAAACAAAACCGATTTCCATTTTAAAACATAAGACTAACCAACTTGAATGAAGAAATATATTGACTAAAGTAGAAGCAGCAAAAACCCAAAAAACAATGCTGATTCGAAGTAAATTTCACACCAACATGTAGAACATTACACTAACTGCGGCATCTTAGCACATTGAAACATTAATTACATACCTACACAAAAGAAATAGCTAAAAGAAACACAGAAAGAAGATAGCCGGCCGCCATTACGTACAAAGATGGCTGATATAATAATTCCCGCCACATTCTGATTGGTTGCTAAGCTGAAAAGCACATTTACGAAATTGAGTTGCGTTTAATTGCAGCCTTGTAAGAGATGCGTAGCACGGAGTACCCACTCGTGATATGGTGAGGGTGTGTGGCCGAGAGCTTTTAGGTAGATCTGTTCAGTAGGATTTATGAAGTCAGCATCATTGTAGAAGACTTACAAACCTGTTTATTTTGAGGATTTACTTATTGCTACACCCGTCTTTGTACTTGGTCTAGGAGATTTATGTCTCTTTTGATGAGAGGTGGTGTGGCAACATTGTTGACCTCAAGGTGAGGCCGTGCGTACATTCAAAGAAGGTGAGGAACACCTTAAGGTTTATTGCATCAGGTTGTATTCACAAAATTTGGAGAACTATATCTGCCTTGGCTTCATCCTTTACGTAAGTGAAGCTGGTATCCAGAATATCTGCAGTTATTAGATAGCGACAACGCTACGAGGAGACAATCGGTGGCAAATTTCCATGGACGACGTCATTTCTTTGTGTCGGATGAGTCAGAATGTTCATGACACGACAATTCAACTGGTTAAGTTTCAGCTCTTGGTTTTCTACTGTTGGGGACGTTAGATCTTCAGAACTCACTTGAGAAAGGACCTAATTTGTAATTTTATTTAGAAAATTTAAATTTCTTTGTTTTCGCGCTAAAAGCGCTTTTCTCATCTTCATGTAAATATCTTAAATGCTGTTGGTCCGTTGCGTTTTTTAGTATGCTATTTGGTAACTTATCTCAAGGACGGTTTTGCACTGTATATTTACCTTTTGAATTGTGTTTGTTGTTATCGCTCGTTTCTGACTATTTGTAGAGTATGCTTTCCCTCCCAAGCTTGAACTTCTCCCTCTAGTTAGCGAAGCCGGGACGCATCAGTATCTAGCTTACTGGTCTTCGGTCACGGAGTCTTATTCTTGTTCGCAGATTAAGTGATAAGTTAAACTACAGCATCTACCTACTTCTCTATTGTTTTAAGGTCATTTTGAGGCTTAAGTGCATATTTTTGACTTTCTATCGATCTAAAGATCCTTCTGTTGTTTGCACAGATCAGTGTCACCGAGCTAATTTTATCTAACAAGTCATTTAATAAGGATCAGAAATAGAAGTGGACCTGTGTATTTACTCATTAGTTCATTGGTCATTCCTTCCACTAACTTCGACACTATCAAAAGTGATACGATTGGTCTGTAATAGGCTGTATCTTTCCTATCTCCTCCTTCGAAGGTTGGGGAGAAGGTAGTCTATTTCCATGCCTTTAATAATCGGTATGACTCTGCTGAGTTCTTAAACATGTCACATACCAGTGCACTGGTTTCTGTACACTGTTTCAGGATTGTGGATTGTATGCTGTCAAATCTAGGTGAAAGGATTTTAGTTTATTTAATACTAGTTGGAAATTTCTTCGACTCTCAGCTGGCATTTACATGTTCCTGGTTTATTTGATCAGTGAAGTTGGCATTAAGAATT